AAGCCCCCGAGCCGGGCCGGAGCGCGGCTCTGCTCCCTGGAAGGTCTCTGACTCTCCGTGGGGAAGGCAGCTCGGGATGCGCAGCGCTCCTGCGGCCTCTCCTGCCCGTGGGATGCGGGGCGTGCGGCAACGCGCGCGGGATTTGCCCGCCTGGTGGCTGGTTCTGCATGAGAGGAGGGAAGATTTTTAGGACTGAAAGAAAGTACTAAGCTATTTCAGTCTTTATTTGCATCATCTTCTCTGTGTGGGGGACGTTAATAGTTTTTGCAGTTGTGTTTACGGTCTGTGTTTATAAACACCTCGGATGCTCTCATCATTTAGTGAAACAGCGTTAATATTTACAGCTTACTCGGGATGCTGAATTCTCTACGTTCGTCGCGTTGGAAGCGATGTTTGGGTGACCGATGTTGCATAATAGTAGATTAAGAGGTACGCACACCGAGCCTCCAATTTTTTCATTATCTCATTAGCCTTAGTTTCTCTAACACTTGCAGTATTTTTGAGCTTTTATTTTTTTGTGTGAGGTGTAAAGCTGACTTTATAGAGAGAGTTCTTTGTGGATATTGTCAGAAGAAAGTATCTGCCTTTACAGGTGTTAAAAATTGGTTAGAAAAACCGTAGCAATGACTTTTTGTCTTCACTGTTAGATGGCGGTCGTTTCAAAGTCCGGAGCACTTCCAGTCATAGACAAATGAATGCAATAAAAACTGTTTGTGTTACACACGCAGTAGTGATGGTCAGAATCTGCTTAGCTTGGAGCTTCTGACCAGAAGGTTATCAGTTTTGAGGTGAGCTGCATCACGGAAGAATTTTATATTAAATTTGCTGGAGTACCTGATACATGTCTGCCAATGAATATATTTCAATCATAAAATATACTTGGCATGCTCTGTGGAAGAATCGTGAAGTCCTCTGTGCATAACCTGGGCTTGCAATAGATAGTTAAAAAACAAACGCAGAATCTGTAGTGCTGGAAATGCTGTGCTTCATTTTCAAGATGTTGCGGTATAGTATGTGTAATTTTTAAAAGATGCTGTATTTCCTCTTTCATGTGACTGCTTTTGTCTTTCATTGCTGTATGTGTTATCTTTAAATCATTTTATTCTTTCAGTTCTGAGGAAAGGCTCTGGTTCTACTGAGCTCTGGCTATATTGTTTTATATTTGACAATTTCTTAAAAATTAGGGTTAAAACTGCAATTTTTTATGCAAAGAAAGTGTAAGTGAATGCTATCATGAGGATTTTTGACACCTGTCAGTGATAACCTCATCGACACAATTTAATATCTGAGTTGGTTTTATCTCTTCCCTTTTTTAAATCAAATATATGGCTCTGACAGAACTCTCAATCTTCTCATGTTATGCTTGTTCCTAAAGAAGATGACCCGGAGGTGTTGGGGTTGGGTGAAGACAGCTCAGCTGGCCGCCCTTACCTAATCTGCAGCTCTGTTGCAGAAAACCTTGGTGAAGGCCAGGTGTGGGGAATGTGTCAGGGCCCTCTTAGCAGATCGCTGAGTGCATGCAGCTGGATTTTCACCAGCTGCTTCACCCCTCAAATGTCTGCAGTTTGGGAGGAAGGGGGGTGTGACGCTGACCTCCCCTTTCCAGGGAAAGAAAAGTGATTTTTCCTTGCTTTTAAATTGCGTTAGAAAAATCATACTGCTGTAAAACTTTACATGAGGTCAGTTTCTTGGTTTTTTTCTCTCTTTTATTCACTCGGCTTTAGTGTGGAATTTTATAGTTTCTTTGGAAAATGTTTTTTATGGAAGAACTAAGGAAAAGATGCGGTGTATGTGTTGTTAACTTGTGTTGCTTCTGCATTTTACTTTTCACAAAACTTGGTGTTCCGTTTCTTCTGAGACCTGTAGAAAACAGTCTGTGTAGACATACTGGTTTTACAGTGACGAGATGAAGCTGTTCTGGTGTGAATTAAGTGTAGGTGCTGTGTGCTGGTCCTGGTGCGGATTAAGAGGGACCTTTTCCTGCAGCCTTAAACCTCCCGGGACAGAGCAGTTTCCCTGGTTTGATCTATCACGTGTCCACAAAAACATTTGTTGTAGTTGGGAGTGAGCGAAGGGGGTGCGATTTTTATTTCAGAAGCTGTGAACTGGTGTATTTGAAATGAATGTATTTCAGATTAAATTTTGAACTGCTCCCAGTAGAAAGGGAAAAGGAGTTTGAGTGCAGGTAGTCTTATGAATATGATGTCTTAAAGCCTGAGAATGTTGTTGAATTGGTAATTAGCTACTTTTTGTAAAGCAGAATTTGTTTGAGACTCTCAAAGCTTATAATCCGTATTTTTTCCGCCTTTAATACAAATTTTTTATTGCTAATGTAGTTAAAAGTTGGAGAAGACACAAGGAGGACTATAAAATGCACTGCGTGCTGTTTGTTCTTGTGAGCTGGAAGATTGAATGTTGTGCAATCCAAGAGAAACAGTCTACCAACCACTGCCACGTTTTCATCTGTTGGTAAACATCAGCTGCTGGTTGGTCTTGAGGGAGGAAGACTGAATTAGATCCAGATGGATAACTCTTTCAGCCCATTTCAGACTTCCCAGTTGATTTAAGACAGCAGGTCAGTAACTTAGGGGAGTAGTTTCGTTCTTTTTTGCTGTTCTGCTTCCTGCTGTGTGTGGAATCAGTGATACCAAATATGATATCGTAGTGCTGCTGAGGGTGGGCGTTCCGTTGTGCTTAATTGCTGTTGTTTTTAATTGAGTAGTATAAACAGGAAAAGTATTAAGAAGTTGTGATAATGAACCATTTTGAATGTAAAGGGTATTTTTTTTTTTTTAAGACCTGAAAAAGGAGGATGAGTCACGAATCCATTTTTCTTAATAAATTCTCTTAAGGAATGCGTATCTTCCTTCAAACTGGCGAGGTAACACAAGTGTATGGTTTAACGCGAGCGTGTCATCGGGTCTTGTACCCCAGTGTGCTGCTAGCGTGATTTCCCAGTAAAATGGAAAGAGGTAAGGGGATAGGGATGGAAACCTTCTGTGCATGGCTGTAACTACAGGAATAGAGAACATGAGGGATGGAAAATTTCAGTGTGAAGTAGCTGCTGTTTAGGATATGAAAACTGATAGGATATATTTAACACTTTAACACCTCTTTGTGATTTATTTTGAGGTGCCACACAGGACATTAAAAAAGCATGCTGAAAACAGTGTCCTCTTCGCCTGTTTGCATACTAACAAAATCAGGGCAGGTGCAGCAGCTCTTGTTACAACTCTTGTACTTTGCTTGCAGCTGATTATTTCTTGTGCTGCCATTGTCTGATGCACTGTAGTGTTATGATCTCCTTTAGACAGCGTTTTCCGATGCCCAGTGATTACCTTCCCCAAGAATTACTGTTTAACTGTGTAAGGTCCACCACCTCGTCTATATCCAGCACATGTGCTTCCGAAGAAAAGTATTTCAAATTTCATTTCCCTTATTGTTTATTCGTTGAGGAGCAAAAGAGGTCTTGTCCGTCATTTCATTCTCATCTGATCCTATTTTTTTTTTTTTGCTCATAAAACACAGACTGCAGAATAAAAAGCACTAAATCCAATAGTGTGGTTTAATGTTGCAGATAAGCTGCTCAGGTGCAATTTCTTTCTTTCTTAACACAGACTTTGAATCTGTTAGCGTTGTGATGCTAACTACCATTGTATGACTTGAGAAGAATAAAGGTCACTGATTTTGTTATTCTCTGTACTCTTCTACTGAAACTTGCCATGTTTAATGTAATTTGTAAAAGGAGGAAGCTCTGGTTGCAAACGACTTAATGCCTTTTTCTGTCAGATCTTTTAAAAAGACTAAGAATTATTGCAAGTACTAAACATTGAATTGCAAGCTCTAACAGTACTGCAGTGGCAAAATAAGTAATGTTGCATTATTTACGAGTAATTAAATAGAGCACAAGTCTGTTGGGAAAGCTCTTGGGCATATTTTCCTACTGTGTTCACCTAGACCTCTTAGTTCCCAGGATAACTGTGCTTATGATTACTGGAAGTTAACAGTCCTTGATTACTGATTGCTCACTTTGACTCAAGATGATAACAGATTAATTAGTAATAAGGGTACAGGGCTCCTGCCCAGATTTTCTGGGTTCTGAAGATTTTTCTGTTGAGTGGTTAGAAGAAAACCTTAGACTGAGATCAAAGAAACCATGGAATCTTGAAGAGGAGTTGATTATCATGGAAAAGGCTGTGTTGACATGCTTTAGAAGAGAAAGACCTTAAAAACACATGAAGTCTTTTATGTGTGTGCGTGCTATTTTAGAATAAAAAAATAATCTCCCTTAGATAAGGTCTTAGTGCTTAACCTTGGTATCATGACATCAGGAGTGCAAAGTCCAGTTTGAAAGATGAGCTGCAGAAGTCTTTTTAATAAGATGCAGGTGAAATGTATCTTTGCTGCATAAGGGATTTAAAATGTCATTACGTTCAGAGCTACATGCTTTTTTCCTTCTTTCTCTTTTTTTTTTTTTCATTCTTAGGCAGAAAAAAATGGAGTAGACCACATGAAGAAGCATGTGAAGTTTATTTTTACGCAAAATGTTATTTGGAGGACCAAGTACACTTTTTCAGGCCATGGAAGATAAAAGACTAATCACGTGATATCTTTGTTCTGTCAAAGTGCTGTTCTGTGCTAAGTCAACGTTGGTTTGTATTAAGGACAAATATTAATTTCTTAATGTCAGCATGTCGACTGTGACAAGCGCTCAGACACCGGAGGAACCTAATCCCCCCCTCCTTGAAGAAAAGCCAAAGGGAAAATCACTATTTCATTTGGGTTCGCTCTTTGCTAACAGGAGTGAAAAATTTGTAATTGCCAGGAGTGATAGTGTACCAGAGGAGAATGTTCTGAAAATAACTATCACGGAGACTACGGTCATTGAGTCGGACTTGGGCATCTGGAATTCTCATGCTCTCATCTACCTCACTTTGTGGTTTTTTTTCAGCTTTTGCACTCTTTTTCTTAACAAATACATTCTTTCATTACTGGAAGGAGAGCCCAGCATGCTAGGTAACCCTACCTTTCTTTTACACTTTAATTCCAGAAAGATATTTGACAATACCAGATCCTCCTATAAAAAGCTGATGGACAGAATGGTTCAACTGAAGTGAAAAAGACCTAGTTAGGAGATGTGGGGGTGGACCTTGGGGCTGGGAACTCAGGAGTTGTGATCTCAGCCTGTAAAGTGGCTTCTGACACTGTCTGTTCCGCCACTTGCCGAAAGGTGGTGTGAAACTTGGCTCACAGAGGAGCTGTAAGATGGTGTTTGAGATCTAAGAGCTGGAAAGAAAAATGTAATTTCTTGTTTTCTGTGTTGGAGGGTAGCGTGGGTTTAAAAAAAAAACAAAAAAATCGAGTCAGTTGTTGATAGTCTCCAGAGCTGTTAATCTTAACTTGTTTGTCTATAGAAGTGCAAAGGTTGCCTTTGTGTGACCTTTATTATCCAGTGGGCTGGCTGTTTGTTTTTTTAAGGAGGAAGCAAAGGGCATTTCACCTGTGATCTGGATTCTATAGGTGTATGCCACCTTTGTTTTATTCTGCTGCTTTATTGGTAGATGTAGAAGTAAAGGGCTTTTGTGAGAATTCATAAAATCTAGACAGTAATTGCCATGTGTCTTAACTGCTAACAGTACTGCCCATAAGTTTTTTCTAAGAAATTTTATTAAGTTGCTTGGTTCATCATGTTCCCATCATCTTCTGATTTTATTTTTTTCCCTCTCATTTTTCTTTAGGTGCTGTTCAAATGCTTTCAACCACTTTCATTGGCTGTATAAAAATGTTTGTTCCATGCTGCTTGTATCAACACAAAACACGCATCTCTTATCCACCCAATTTCATCATGATAATGCTGTTTGTTGGATTAATGAGGTAAATGGTTAAATATTTCCTGGAGATCTATCTGGTTGCTTTGTCGCATTCTTCTGAACAGAAGCTGGATTTTTATGGTGCTCTTCCTTTTCATGCTTGATTGGAAAGTGTTTGGAGTATTCACCTTCCCCCCCCACCAAATAAAATCACAGGATAATTTTATTTTTCGTTCCTATTGCTAAATGCTGTGTCCTGTTTTCTAGATGTTAGGTTTTTGGCTAGCTTGGATTCTCATCATGTTTAGCTTCTTTCAAAACATACTTCTCTTTCCATTTACTTCCTGTTCTCTTTTGAGGCTGATGTTTGTTTAATGTACTATTATTTATTATGGTGTTGCTTTGTTCCCTCACCTTCTCCAGCTCTTTGCCTCAAAAGTGATACAGGCTATTAGCATTTATTGTTTAAAAAGTATTTGCTGTGTGCTGGGATAGTACCAGTTTGCAGTCTAGGAGAGAATAAGAATATATGATTTGGTTTTCTCTACACTGCAAAAGTGATAAAGGATAACAGGATTCAAATTAATTCAGAGTAGCTTTATCATAACTCTGCCACCCTGTTTAATTTCATGGTTTTAAGTATGGTAAATATGTACGGTACCTAATTTACACTAAAGATGGATAACTGCAAATGATCAAGTTGCTGTGGTGAATTACTGTTCATCAGCAGAATTGTAATCATTTTTTCAGCTGAGCCTATTGAAAACTTTAGTTTAAAACGCTGTCATCTGAAGCTTGGCTAGAGTGCATTGAAAAGTAAACTTTGTTTTCTGGAAGTCCACAGTACATCCATAGAAATTGCACGGTTGCCCAAGGGTGCCTTCATTTGTGCTGAATAAATAATAATGTTTAAGCCAAAGCAGAAGGAAGCAGGTCTGATGCATTCCACCCTGCAGGTGCTCAGCTGCTGCAGTTCAGTCGAGCTACCATGATTTGATAACCTGATCGCCAGCTACACCTGCCCATATTCTTAGTTACTGCAGCCCAAACTTATAAACCTAGAGAAACTGTAACGCAGTTCTTTTTTATGCTAGATGTTGGAGAGCAGCTCTTAAAGCATTATTTTATTTTCTCCTTAATTTCATGTGTTCTTCCATCCATTACAGATTTGCAACAGTAGTCTTGGGTCTTGTCAGCTTGAAAAATGTGGCAGTTTCATTTGCAGAAACTGTTAAAAGCTCTGCACCTATTTTTACAGTTATCATGTCTCGGATGATATTAGGAGAATACACTGGTAAGTACTTCATTGATGAAATGTGACTTTTCCAAATTTTTTTAAACTTTTTTTAATAATACTGTCGCTTAGTTGGCCATGGATGAGGAGATTCCACAGAAATTAGTAAATGCAGCTGGAAGAATCATTCTGTTTGAATGCAATAAGTAGAGTATAATAATGTAAAAAAGAATTTCTTTTAATGCAGCTGTGTAAGGGCATTGTAGCTCTGAACTTATTTTTCTGTTGAGAAAATATTATTGCAGCAGTTCAGCGTGTTCTTCTTATAACAACAGCTTCCTAGTCAGAATTTAAAATTCTTGAATTTCTTCACTGTTTGCTCTGACTAAAAAAAAAACCTAACTGGCTTACCACAATCTAATTTCTTGCAGCCCACAATATAATTTCTTTGTGATTCCACTTGCGATTGCGTGCTATTTGCTTGAAGAGATTTTGCTTGTTACCCACTATAAGTCATAGGAGTAATACAGAAGCCAGGTATAGATTGCTTCATGATGCAAAATGGCAAAGGGCTGAAATAAGCCCGAGGAAGAAGAGTAATTTAATCACAGAGTAAACGGGGAGAGTATAATTTTCTTCTGCCATTTGGTGAAAAAGATGAAGCAAAGAGAGCCATCAGTCCATCTTCTTTCTCCAAGGGAGATACTTTTATCAGTGAGCGCGTATCTGTATTGTTTTCAAGAGCACCCTGCTATTGTCTGAGGTCTCGCTTTAGAACCTCTGTACTTTAAAATCCATTCATGTAAGTTGCTCTTCCATTCTAAAGCTAAAGAAGTTAAGGTGCAAATTAAGCTTTCAAAAACTACATTATCCGATACATGTAATCGGAAGTACAGTAATTAAACTCAGATGTAATTTTTTCTTGTCATTTGCAGGATTGCTGGTTAATCTCTCTCTCATTCCTGTTATGGGTGGCCTAGCTCTCTGTACAGCTACTGAAATCAGTTTCAACATTCTAGGTTTCTCGGCAGCTTTATCTACTAATATCATGGACTGGTAAGTAATGATAGTTGCATATGTGGAATAAAGGAATTTTATGTATTGGTAGGTTGAAGAAAATTGTTGCCTGTAGCTGGTTTTGTACACTATATTTCAATGTTGGTATTTAAAATACATTTTTAACAGAAGATACAGTTTCTCTATCATTTTGGCTAGCGTTCATGAGATTAAAAAATATCACAACTCCGTTAGTCTAAAGGAGTTAAACCAAGCTCCTTTCCGTAGCTGCATAACATGTAGAAAGTGAAACGTGTAGAAACATATCTACCCATCTAAGGCAAACAACTGTCCTTCTCATGGATTGATATATTTGTCATAACTAAACCATGGATAAATCATGATGTGGGTTGTTTGTTTGTTTGTTTTTTCCAGTTTGCAAAATGTCTTTTCCAAAAAACTACTCAGTGGAGATAAATACAGATTTTCGTAAGTATTAATAATATTTCCGGTTTGGTTATAGATGGACTTTGGGCTACATAAGGAAGCTATATATTAAGACTGTATTGCACTAAGGTATTTTTTTTGTCTCGGACTGTTCAGACAGCTTTAACCTAAATCATTTTATTGGGGAAAGAAAATTCCTCTATGCTCCAGTCCCACTGCGGTAGGCCAGAGCCTTGTAATTGGATAAAACTCTCGGCATATCCAGAAATAAGTCCTTATTCTGCAATCATAAAACATCCCTTAACGTATTAGGTGTGCAAAAACAAACTTTAGAACTTTCTTGATGTTTAACTACGAAATGCGAGCCAGGAGTAAAATCTGGTGGTAAAATATACCTATATATATGTAGAACTATATGTATGTATTTTACCACAAGATGAAATGCTAGTTTTGGTCTCAAACTTGTGCCTTTTATCTTTGGTCTATCTCAGCCAACACAAAAAGCATAACACTATCTTTGTGAGAGATTTCTGACGTTGTCCCCCCCAAAGCTTTGCAGGTGGCTTTTATTACTTTGTGATATCTGTAAATGCAATAATGATGCAGCTTTCTTCAGCTCTCAGAAAGAGGGAGCTTTTAATCATTTTAATCACTGTTTTTTCTCCTTTGTAGAGCCCCAGAACTTCAGTTCTACACAAGTGCTGCTGCAGTGGTTATGCTTATTCCAGCTTGGATATTTTTCATGGTAATTTGAATTCACTAGCACTGATTTATGGGGTTTTTTGACTTGTGAGCAGAATGTGCAACTAAGGTTAATCATAACTTTTACTTTTCATACTTCCCATTTTTTTTTTTTTTTAATGAAATGGATTTATGGTATGTTTGCAAGAGATTAGGGGGGAAGTAAAAAAGAGAAAATTTCCAAAGAAATAATTGAGTATAGACGTGCGTTGACAAGTGGCCCGGAAAGCCTGAATTTATTTCGGGATTTTTGAGATCAAACCATATTTTTGTCTAAGTGCATTTAAAGTTTTAGATAAAGACTTGAAAACCAAATTTTAAATATTTGTCGACTTTTTGCTGATACTCACAAGGTACACAGGAATATTAACTCTTGGAAAGCAAAATTCAGCTGACGTAAGTATAATGTGTTAGGTTAAATACGTATCCTTCACATTCTGGCATTTCATTGCCATGCATCAGTGTTCAGAAAAGAAAATATCTTGCAGGCAGGCTGAACACACTGGGAAGTTCAGTCAGATATGAGAGCTGTTCTTCTAATGTATTCTTTTGGGGGGAAATTTGTAGGATCTAAATGTCCTGTGCATTTTAGGTTTTGTTTTGCTGAAGTTTAAATGTAAAACTGTATCTGCTTGTAATAATAATGAGTTGGGTAGAAAATCACTTTCAGATTTGCTTATAAATTAAACTCTTAAAATCCTCTTTTTTATTGTTGTTGTTTAGGATGTGCCTGTGATTGGAAAAAGTGGGAGGAGCTTCAGCTACAACCAAGATGTTGTCGTGCTTCTCTTGATAGATGGAGTCTTGTTCCACCTCCAAAGTGTTACAGCCTATGCCTTGATGGGAAAAATTTCTCCTGTGACTTTCAGGTAAAGCTGTACTTTCATATCAAGAACACTATCTTACTTTCTTTTTTTTCTTGCTCAGTATTTCTGCTTGAGAACTAGGCAGTAAAGGTATTGTGCAAAGAAATAAATAATGTAAACATATAAATGCATTGAATTAAGAAGAAAACTTTTCACATCTGGATCACCAAAACTTTGTGGCTTGCTCCTGCACTGTGTGAGGAGAGCGGCATTTGAGCCGTGCTGTTGGAACAGGTTGCTCACATTTACGAGGAGGGGTGTTGTATTCAGGTTTAACAGCCATTCCTTAAAGCTGGTTAATGAGACTGAACAGCTTCACTGAAACCCTAGAGCCAATGTTTAAGCTGCCGTTTGCTTCAGTGATGAGGCAATACCTATATACATCTCGGTGCAGTACAGAATGTGAGCGATCAGCTCCGTATTCCTTTTTTCTGAAGCACGACACCAGCACGTCAAGCCATACTTGTTAAATTATACATGTTCTTTAAAGAGAGCTTCCACCTATATTGTCAGTTATCAGCAGCTTTGTTAGGCTATTACACAATTCTGATTGAATAATTGGTCGCTTTTATGAATAGTCCTAGGGCCTGTGGGGTAATCCTGGTCCTAAGCTTCTTAAGGCTTCTGCTGTCTTTCAGGTTCCCCTGCTACAGTCTTGTGACAATTCGCTGTTATACACGTGCTTATTCTGAAGTTGTTAGTCTCCTCTATATAACAGGATGTAAAAGTATTTATTCATATGTGTACAGAATTTCTTAACTACTTGTTACAGTGGTATTGGTATGATTTAGGTATTGATTCTTTTCAGGCTATAATGCTCTATTACCTGAACAGTAGCAGCAGATTTGCACACGATAGTTATGTTGCTAGTGTTTTGTTAGCATTTTCTAGACGTCTGTATGAGCTAGAAATGAATTGCTAACACTGTACTGCGTACTCAAAAGCAACGAAGACAAAAACCTGAGGTGAACTATTTGTACTAGCTCTAAAATTAAGATGAGTATAAAGATGCGAGTGCTGATATACAAGTAATTTGGTTATGGTATTAGCTTCAGGAGGAGAAGTGGAATCTGAATTGGTGTTTAAAAAGCAAGCAAAACGAAGAGAGGTCCTGCTATGTTAAAGCATGGTTGTGTGTGGGACGTGAGAAAGCTTTCTTTGGCCTTAATTTTTATATTCCTTTCCAGTGTTGCTAGTACTGTGAAGCATGCGCTGTCGATCTGGCTAAGTATTATTGTGTTTGGTAACAAAATCACGAGCCTCTCAGCCATTGGGACTGTTCTAGTGATAATTGGAGTTCTACTATATAACAAGGCAAAGCAGCATCAGCAAGAGACTATACACAGCCTGGCGGCTGCAGCCCCACAATCTGCACAAAGTACAGCTGAAGACACTGAGCCACTCATTTCCAAGGAGTTGGAACCGTATGATTAATATGGCCATTTATTCTTCCAACCTAGTGTAACTCAAAGAAACTCTTCCTGAAAGTGGTTTGTTTCTTCAACTGTTGATGCCGATTTGGTTCCTTTGAGTTTGTGGCAGGTCAAGGCTGGGACTTGAAGCAGAGAGAAAGCAATGGGAAGAATCCAGTAAGCCTTGATTTGCTGAGAAACTGATATACCAGAGGACCTAGTATCATATAATGTGGTAAACGTGGGCTTTAGTGTCTTTCCTTGACTGCAAATAACGTACAAGCCTATGTTAGAGTAAGAACGTCAGTGTCTCATGGGAAAACGATTCCTTTCTCCCTGTCAAAATAATGTGAAAACACGGACCCATCACTGTATTCTGCTTGCTTGCAGTGGAAAGAAGTTGGTGCGTAACTGAAATTCCTAGTTGTTTGTTACTCTACGCTGCCTGTGTCCTCCATCGTTCGTATGCACTGCAGAGCTGGAGGAAGGAACCCCTTCCTCTCCCAACAAATGACTTATTTTGGTATACGTCTAGTTGAAGTAAACTAGGGAAATGAGTCCATACCCCAAAGCAGTGATGAGCAGCTATTTCTGACTACAGAGCTAGGAATGAAAAGTGATTTTTCTACTGAAATTTAACACGGAAATATTGCATCCTGGTTGTGCATTGACAATATTGAAATGCAAGTATACACACATATACATGCACTGTATAAATGGGGTGTTGAATTCAATGTTTGCAGTTGCTTAGAGGTAAAAAACACTGAAAATTTCTGGTGATAAAGGAAACAGGATCTCTGTATTTCTAGAAGAAACCATTTTAGTATTTTAATTTCTTGCATTTTATTATATGTTTCTGTTATGAGGAAATAGATTTTTTTTATTATTATTTTGAAGAGCACAACAAAATACTGTCTTTCAGAAACTCAGGGTTATAATTCTGACCTGTGTGCAAAGTATTTCTATCATTTCTGATTATGTAAAGAGTCTTGGAGGTATCCGTGACAGAGGTGGAAGAGAGGTCACTAAAGGGAGGAATAGTAACCGTAAACTGAGGCTCATCTTTATTTCTACTGCTTTTTTTAAGGAAATTCTGTTTTGTGGTAGATCAAAGATTAAAAGTTAACTTTGAAAAAATAAAAAAAAATTCTTAAGTATTAGTAATTAGTTTTGGCAAAAAAGCACATGCAGCTACAAAAACATTCAAATGGACCTTTTGGTAACAAAATGAACAATTAAAACGAGCTGATTTTTGATAATTGTCACTGTTCTGAAAGATTGTAGCATGGCGTTAGAAGAATGGATAAAATGGTCTTTGTGTAAAATTTGTAGTAGGAAGTTACCAGTGGAGTTCCTGCAAAATTTAAGCTCATGCTCCCATTTCCACACGTTGAGGTATTCCGTTGGCTTTAGTGAACTATTCTTGCAGAGAGCAAAACTGCCTCTCTGAAGAAGCTTGCCTTCTGTTGAAGTAGTGCGTGCTTGTTTTGTCTTAGGCTTACTTCAGGTTACATTCCTGTACATGACTGGTGGCCTGGGGCATATTCCCTGAAGACCTGAGTGGGAGGGAAGTGTCAGGTTTTTTCATCATTGTGTCTGTGATGTCTGTGGTTTTCTGTTTCTTTGTACTCCTAGCCCTTTTACAAAAAGCTGTGGACTATGGGGTGGAGCTCTGTTCTTCCTTTTTCTTTTTTCTTTTTTTTTTTTTTTTTTGTAGTTACACTTTTAAAAATCCCAGTGTATTTGGCAGAAAACATTGTATTTCTGCTCTTGTTGGATGACAGAAATGTAAGTGGCTTTCTAGTTGCCTAGCCCCATTCTCATGTAAACCCCTTCATCGGCTGATTGAGCTCTGTTTTGAAAGCTAGCAGGCTTTTGCCTTTCCTGTTGCTGGAAAACTTTCTGTGAACCAAACAGCTGGGAGGATTTTGGAACTTGTAATTTCTAACGTGTGTCTTAGCTTATGAGTGGCTGGTGTAGCCCCACCTGTTCTGTGGCAGCATGATAATCCTGTTCTACTAGGGGTTTGTTTTCACAGTGTTGATCTTATGTACTTTTTCTATGCAGTTGTCTTGGCCTTTATTTTTATTAGATTAAACAAACCAACCTCTTCACTGTCCACTTTTGTAAGACCTTTTCTTACTCCAGCCATACTAGTAATTCTCTTTTGCTGTTGTTCCTGTTGGGTGAACAGGGACCGTTGTGTTCCACGGTAAGAATTCACTACAGTGTTACACCCCAGCTGTATCGGCCTTTTGATTGCTTTGTGTGATGGTGGTAGTACTGCCCCATTCCTTCTGGGAAGTCTGCTCTTGAAACACTTCAGGTGTTTCTCACATCCTCGTGCGCTGGTCAGGACAAACTCTGTGAGCTGGAGCTCTGCGGAGTATTTGTTTTACATTTGTCAAGTATGTTCTCGTAGAAACAGCACCTCTCTCTTAAAATGTGAATTCCTGCAATCACACAAGGCCTTGCTGAGGAACACAGACTCGCAAATGTAACGTGTTACTCATAGAATCATAGAATGTTTTGGGTCGGAAGGGACCCC